TACCAGCTCTACAGAATATTCATGAAGATGTAGTTTGTCAAGGCTGTCAATTTGGCAAATCACATCGTCTTCCATTTCAGAGATCATTGAATCGGAGATCCTCCATATTTGAGTTGGTTCATACCGACTTGATGGGACCAACAAAAATAGCAAGCTATATCGGTTTTCGCTATGCCATGGTGTTCGTAGATGATTTTTCAAGATATACATGGGTGAAGTTCTTGAAAGAGAAGAGCGAAGCTTTGTCAAAATTTGCTGAGTTCAAAATTGCTGTGGAAAAGGAATTTGGGGTGAAGATTCAGTATTTACGAAGCGACAACGGAGCCGAGTATATGTCAAATGATTTCTTCTAGTACTGTGATGACAACGGTATTTCAAGACAAATGACATGTCCAAGTACCCCTCAACATAACGGTGTCTCGGAAAGGAAATTAGCTCATCTTGTTTCCATGAGCCTTTCCTGGCTGCACGATAAGAATCTCCCTCGAGAGCTTTGGGCTGAAGCAATTCAATGTGCATGCCATGTAATAAATTGTTTCCCTCCATGGCTAGGTAAAGAAAAATCTCCTTTTGAGACTCTATATGATGAAAAGCCAAATGTAAATTACATTCGGGTATTTGGTTCAATTTGTTATGTTCATATACCAAAATCTAATCGAACTAAACTTGACCCGAAAGCAAAAAGGTGTTTCTTTGTTAGCTATGATTCATATAGAAAAGGATAGAGGTGTATGGATCCTCAAACAAAAAAGTTTGTCACTTCCAGAGATGTTGTGTTTGATGAAGTATGATCATACCATTCTGCCGAGAAAACAAGCAATCAAGAAACCATTCTTGATGGTGATCAAGAACATTTGCAGCAGATTCCAGAGGGTAACCCGCAGGCTTCGAACAATAATGAAATCTCAACTTCAAATACCTCAATTTCAGATGGTGGTAAACAGCAAACTCCTAGGAGATCAACAAGAGAGAAACAACAGCCAAGTTACCTGAAAGACTATAAGGTACAACTGAATAACTGCTCAATTACTTCATGCTTTTTTATAGGAGGATTGGATGAAGAACCAACAAGCTTTGAAGAAGTCAAAGTTCATCCAAAGTGGGAAGCAGCTATGCAAGAAGAAATTGATGCTTTGAACAAAAACCAGACATGGGAGTTGGTGTCGAAGCCAGAGAATTGCGAGCTTATCACATGCAAATGGGTTTACCGATTGAAGAAAAACGCAGATGGGGTCGTTGATAAGTACAAAGCTCGGCTTGTTGCACGTGGTTTTTCTCAAAGTTATGGGCTAGACTATGAGGAGACTTTCAGCCCAGTTGCAAAAATGGTAACAATAAGAACCCTTTTCTCTGTCGCAGCATCTAAGAATTGGAAGTTGTGGCAACTTGATGTAAAGAACGCTTTTCTTTACGGAGAATTGGATCGTGATGTTTTTATGGAACAGCCTAAAGGTTATGTCTCTACGCAATATCCTCATCATGTTTGCCGGTTAAAGAAGGCATTGTATGGTCTTAAACAAGCATCACGTGCTTGGTATGGTAAAGTTGCTCAATACTTTATCTTCTGTGGCTTTAAAGTTTCTGATGCAGATTCTAGTTTGTTTATTAAAATAGAATTAAATATGCACTTGATGGTCTTATTATATGTGGATGACATGATCATTACTGGAAATAATGAAGCTAAGATTTCTAAGTTGTAAAATGAACTCTCTGTTCGATTTGAGATAAAGAATTTGGGAGAAGTTAGCTGTTTTCTTGGTCTTGAAATTGAAAAAACAGATCAAGGATATTTTGTTTCTCAAAAGGCATATGCAAGAAAGTTGCTGCAGCGTTTTGGCATGGGGGAGTCGAAAGAGAAAGCTACTCCAATGGAGCCACATCTCAAATTGATAAAAGATGAAGGAACACTGTTAAAAGATGCTAGAAGTTTTCAGCAGCTTGTTGGTAGTTTAAATTATTTAACTATCACAAGACCTGAGATTGCTTATTCTGTTGGAATTGTATCTCAGTTCATGCAATGTCCAAGAAGTTCACACCTAGATGCAGCAAAAAGAATTCTTCGTTATGTGAAGGGTTCACTTGGTCATGGTCTGATGTATAGAAGACATGAAGAATTCGTATTAAGTGGCTTTACCGACGCGGACTGGGCTGGAGATGTGAATGATAGACATTCAACTTCGGGATATTGTTTCAGCACCGGGCCAGCCATGGTATCTTGGTGTAGTAAAAAGCAATCAGTGGTGGCATTATCTAGCACCGAAGCTGAGTATGTCGCAGCAACTATGGTTGCGCAAGAATGTATGTGGTTGAAAAGATTAATAGGAGAGATGTTGCACAAAGTTGATTATGCTGTTCAACTTAGATATGATAATGAAAGTGCTATCAAGCTTGCGTCGAATCCCATTTTCCATGGTCGGACGAGCATATTGAGGTTCGTCATTACTGCATTCGAGAAAAAGTGCTAGATCAGGAAGTTGTTTTGAAAGGAATTTCTACAAATGACCAAGTCGCAGATATATTTACAAAGGCTTTGGTAAAGCCTAAGTTTGAATATTTTAGAGCTGCTCTTGGAGTTATTGATTGTAAGTTTGCACTAAGGGGGAGTGTTGAAAATTAGTGCATCTTACATGTTTTATTTACTGTTTTACTTATGTTTACCGAGGCAAATAATTCAGTTCCTATTTTATAGGAATAGTATCAGCTTAGTTGTTAGTTTGGATAGGATTCCTTGCTAGTTGTCTTTTTAGGAGTTGAACGTTAGTGGTTCGGTCTTATTTATATGCTTTGCATATCCTGCTGTAAACTAGAGTTCAAGTGAAAGCAATAACATTCTTCAGTGTTTTATTTCTCCTACAATTTCTTTGACTGCAATTTCTTCTTTCCTCTGTTATATTTTTTGTTTTAGCCTTTTTGGAACTAATTTCCTCCATCATAAAATCTTCATATCTCATGCCAAAGCTTCTCCACTTAAAATCATCACGAACTATTGATGCATTTTTCCTCAACACCATCTCTACATTCAACTTCCCTTTTGAGATATAATCACTGCCAATACCTTAGCATATTCTTCCTCATCCCCTCGGAGACATTCAATAACATTAGAACGATATATAAAAGTTCCAATTTTCTCATCTCTATCGCTATCATATTCAGTAGTTTCCTCTACTCCTTGGATTATGCCCTCGTTATACCATAATACGTATTCGACAACACCTACTAAGGAGTAGGGTAAGAACTTATTAGGTGCCCTAAAAATTTCGAAACGAAGATGAGGGATTCTATCGAATGGAACAACTAAAACAAACTTTTGTGCCCATTGAAGCTTGGTCCCAACCATGTTCATCTTAGTTGTTTTGAGTTGCTGGTTGTCTTTATATGTGGACACTTTCACGTAGCATCTCCCATTCTTTATATCATTAAATACAACAGATTTTACTTCTACTATCAGCAGTCTATATTTTTTGTCCGCCATAAATAGTTTAGTCGTTCAAAAGTTGACTGTTGTAACCCAAATAAGGAAGAAAACTAGTGATTAGGTTTAATGCTTAGCGACTAAGAAACTGAGTAAACTGAATCCGAAACCCGAAACCCTAAACCCTGTTCTGACGAACGGGATGGATTACATTCTTCATATCTATATCTATATACATATAAAGGTAGATGATTTTCCTTTGCCATCTTTGATTAGGGTTTCCGTTTCATTGTTTCACAAATGGGTAAGACATGCATTAAACATGCTTATTCTTAAAACATAAATGTAACAACTAAGTAAGAACATAAGATTTTACTTTTCTAGAATTAATTTCATAAAAGATCATTCAACTTGTAGTATACTTGCGGTAAAATGAGTAAATTTCACCATTTGTAACACAAAAGTTACTTCTCTATTTTTTGTCACATAAAAAACATTTAACTTTGAGTTTGTAACACAAAATTTATGAGCTCGATATGTTCTCCATGCCTTCGAGTTGTTACAAAAAGTCAAAATATGGAGATAATTGTAATTTCATAAACAATGAGGGAGAGTAATATTAAAAAAAGAAATATGGGGGAGGTCTCCAAACTTAATCTATTATATTTAACATGTTTTATTAAGCTAAATAGCTATTTCGTAGTGTCATATCATATTTCAGGTACAAAATATAAATATTTAGGTGATATTTATTTTTTAGTTGACTTGGCCAAAGTTGGATGGCTTTTATGTGACAAAAAATAAAGAAGTAATTTTGTATTATAAACTTAAAGTTGAATGATGATACAAAATAGAAAAGTGACTTTTGTGTTACAGACATAAAGTTGAATAAACACATGTGAATCATCTAACTTATTTTTCTAACCAAAAAATCACTCAACATTCACTTTATTTCATACAATGTCATTCTTGCTATTGTCCGGCCAACTTCATGGCTTTTAGCAACAGATTCTCAGAACCCCTTAAGAGTTTCCATTTATAGCCACAGATTCCAAAAATCGTTCCCAGGCCAACCTCTTAAGTCTGTTGTTGATGTAGACCTTAAGGCAGTTATTTCCCATGTCCTCTTGTTCTTGTTCAATTATTTTGGCAGAATCCTCAGCAGAATTGCTGCAATTATGTAACTCAATGGACTCCAAAGTACAAATTTCCCCAAAATCTGTTGGAACTTTCTTCCAGGAAGACGCAGTTCTTGAGAACAAGGCGTTTTAGATTTGGGAAGCTATCACTACTAGCTTCCCAATAATCAAATAATATGTTGCTAAGTAACATCAACTTCAAGCTTTCAAACTTGTCTTTAACACCCAATCTCCATACTGAACCGCTGACTGCAAGATCTTTAAGTTTGAGCTCTTCAAGATGTGGCAACATGACAAGAGTTGATATGTCTTCCCAAGGAAGATGAAACCCGCCAAATAAAGTCAACATCTTAAGTGATGTTGGGAAACGAAAACCGTTCTTGATGGCATCTGCCGGATAACTTTCCGATAAACACTTCAATGCTTCGACTTTTCTCAAGCTGGACATATCAATTACGCCATTTCCCTCTCTTCTTAATTATGCAATTGGCTGGACTCTCTGTTCGGATGATCAATCTCATTAGATTGGGAATGCGAGAAAAGACTTCATTTGTACAACTGCTGATACAGAGAACAGAAAGTTCCTCTAGATTTGGCATCCATGTCACGAGATGCTTATTTCGAATGCTTTCTCTTTTAGGACTGGGCAAATAACAGCCTCCCACCAGATGTATATGCCTCAAGTTCTTCATCATCCATATGTTCCCTGGTAAAGTTGTAAATGGAAAACGTTGTTTCGAAATTAGAGTTTGCAAATTCTGAAGCTCTGAGATTGATGCAGGAATATTGCCTCTAAACTGAATTTCAAGATATCTCAAATGAAATAACTTTGTAATCACAAGTGGAAATGAATGGAATTCTTCATGGAAGATGGCCAATACCCTGACAAGGTTGAAAGGGGAGATAACTTCATGGACCGTATGATGTGGGGAGATGGACAATACCTCAAGAAGGGTGTAACTGGTTGCACAAGGTCGTCTTAATCGAGAAAATAAGTAGATAGATCTGACAAAAGGGGGTAATAGGTTGCAACGATTGTCAGCTGAATAAGATTGGGTTTGAAAACTGAAGCGACGGACATTATGCTTTTGTGTTAACGGAAGAGTAGGAGCTTCATTAGTTCTTTGAACATGCATAAATTTTGTCATTTCAGCTTCTATCAAACAGAATTCACGCAGTAGATCATGCATTTCACATGCTTTTATCTCACCATTGAATCTCCTTTTCCTAACTATTATCAAGTTCCTACTGATAAGATCCTCCAAATAATCTACTGCCACTTCCTCCAAGCTTTTACCGCTTCCAGATGTCCTTATAAAACCTTCCCCGATCCATAATTGGATCAATCTCCAAGTCTCAACCTGAAAATCCTCCGGGAAACTACCCATAGAAAGAAAGCAAGGTTTGAGGTGATTAGGCAAGTGGTGGTAACTCAAACCGATTGAGTAGCAATGATTTCACCTAAGGTTTGGGCAGCATCCTTCCAACAATCTAATGTCCTTGCCACTTTACATAGATGTCCCGCAATCACTGAAATAGTTAAGGGTAGTCCTTGGCATTTTTCTACTATTTTCTTTCCAATATTTTCCAACTCAGGAGGATGATCATGTTCTGGTCCAAACACCTTATCACGAAGTTACTTCCAGCTGTTATCTAAATTCAAGGGGTTCATCTCATGAGGGCTACTAGGATTTGCATATTTTACTACCTCTGTTTCCCTAGTAGTCAATAAGATTCGACTCCTGTTGTTGTACTCTGGAAATATTCCTCTTATGCTATCCCAAACATCCGTACTCCAAATATCATCTACAACAAAAAAGTATCTTCGACCCTTTAGGTTTTTCTGCACTAGGTCTGCTAACTCACAGTCATCCATCTTATCATAATCTTCCTTGTTAAGAATATTTCTTTGCTTCGAAATGCAATGTAAAGCTTCTAACAATACATTTCTACTTCGATATTCTTGAGATATTGTAACCCAAGCTAGAATGTCAAAATGGTTCCTGCTTGTCAGATGATCATAAGCTTTTCTAGCGAGTGTTGTTTTGCCAATGCCACCCATGCCTGATATTGTGACAATGTCTAAATATGGTGGTGGTCCTGTCAGTCTTTTAACAATTATTTCCAAGTCATCATCAAGTCCCTGCACGATGGCGTCTTCCAAATTTGGCAGCAATTGATTACTTTTAAAAAAAGTGCCAATCAAAGAATACCCAGATGATTCAAGAATTTGATCATCATCATCATCATCACCATGAGAACTTGTGCTTAAATCAGAAATAATCTGCATGACTTCTTTCTTTGCTGTATTGACTTTTTTAACAACTGGTCGCAAATTCCAGTATAAAAATATACGTGCTATTATGAGCTTCCAGCTTGAGACTTTGATTGTCTGATCAATCTTTAGCTCAACGAGTGTTTGACCAATCTTCAGCTCAACAACATCTTCTGCATCACTAACAGCAGCTCTTAGTTTTTCCTCCAAAGATTTGACTTTTTCAGGGTCAAACCTACTGTTATTGCTAGTTTTTTCAAGAACATTTTAAAAATATTCAGCAGTATCATGAAGAGATTCGAGCGTTTTAGCAGTTTGACCTTGAATGAGCTTTGGGTTTCTCTGCTGAAGTTGCTCAAGAGTTTGAAGAAGAGAAACTACAGCAGTGTAAGCCATCAAGTCAAGAATCAGATTGTGGAAATGATGGCAGCTTCGGCTAATATGGAGAGGAAGCTAGGAACAAAACAATTTTTGGGAGTAGAGAAGAAAATAAAAATAAGAAGATAGCATAAATATTTTCACTTGAAAAACCCTTTACAAAGCTAAGTACTCGAGTATCACAAAGTTTTCAACACCTTCTTTGTAATACCCCAATACAAAACCCCTCAGCTCTTTAACTATTTTCCTCTCAAATTATATTTATCTGTGTGACTTGATAATCCAAACGAGTGGAACAACCCCCATTTATAATATGGCTTCCTTGGGTTTGTGTAAATTTTTAATCCCACAACTTGTTTATAACACCCTTTACTTAATTTCCAGCACCACCTTAGTGATCATGAGTAAACTATTTGACTTACTAAAAAAATCTAAGTCAAGGCCAGTTAGTTGGGTGCGTGGAATCAGAGCTTTTTCGTTATAAAGAGGATATTCTCCTATCCATTTTCATTTGATTAATGTTCTTTTTGATAATTTCTTTTGAGGATGGATAACTATGTACTAATTAATTTAAAAGGAACCAATTTGTTTATGTGCTCTGGTTGGAGTAAACAAGCATCTTTAGAGTTGACAATTAATGGAGAGGGTACGTGGAGTTGGACTCGCCTCCGAGCGAGGTATTTCAAAACGCCCAAGGCTTACTTGGCTGGCTCAAATCTTGCGAGGCTTATGTCCCAAACGCCCTACTGTGAGCCCAACTGACGCTCAATGTTGGGGCTCGTCCAACAGTTTCTACATAAATCCTGTGTGAAATTTCCTTATTAGTCTATTGACCCTCAAATTCTTTCACTAACTCGTGACTCATAAATGTTCTATTCATCTGTCGAAACATAAAGTTAGAGATCATGTTCTATGATTGAGAACATCGTAAACTTCATTTGAACATTTCTGACCCCACAATTGTTATATAAAAACCTGTAATTAATTTAATTCCCAACACCATGTTAGTGTTTATAACAAACAATTTGACAAAAAAGAAGCTAAGTCATTGCCAGTTAGGTGCGTGGAATCAGATCTGTCAAGTTATGTTGAAGAGTAGGAATAATACTAATATACTCCGTCATTTTCATTTGATTAAAGTTTTTTAAAACTACTTCCTTTCATATGATAGACAGTTTGACTACTTGTTTATTTGCTCTCACCGGAGTAAACAAGCATCTTTTGCCGTTGACTGTTAATGAAGATTGTTTACCTTGAAAATGGTAATAATAATTAGATTTGATTTTGTGGTTCTAAAAATATGTGATCTATTTTTATGCTAGTTGTTAGGCAATAGATGCTAACTGAAGGATTAGAAATTAAAATGGCAGCTTGCAGATGGCAAATAATCGAACCGAAATGGCTGGGAATCGAGGCCTCGAGCTTGCGTATACGGTGCCTCGAGGTCGAATCGGATGCCCGATTAAGGGCAATCGATGAAGGATTAACAGTTATGAGAGCTGTGGTTGCGGCTCTTTATGACCAATAATGAGCAATAAATGAAGAGCAATTAATAGAACACAATGAGTAAAAGCAATAAATGCGAATAAAGAACCAAGAGAATGTGTTCAAGCTAGAGAGTAGACAATGTTCTTGTATGAATATAGTGTGTTGAGTCTTGTGTATCAGATCTCTTTTACAAAATGACAAGGATCCCCTTTATATAAGGAGGGAATCCCATCATAGTACATGAGTAATTATTACAAAGAAATATAGCTGGAACAGCTACTTACTAGTGTTTCCCTTGCAGGCTTTGTCAGCTTTGATCATATGCCTTGGGAACTTCCCGCTGGTGCGTCGCAGCCGTTGGTTTGCATTGCCTCAAGGTCTATCATCACGAACCCTCGGGGGTGAACTCCGAGCTATACTTCGTACTTTCCGGGGGTGGTCTTTTTTGAGGCGCCCTAGTGATCATAAAATCGAGCCCTCTGATTTTTACCGTATACAGATAGTCCCCGCGTTTCTTAGAATAAAATGATAAGAAATGATTTCGACATCGATCCCCTCGAGCTCCTGTGATGATGTCATGCTTATGACGTCAACTTTTGCGATAGCCGAGATGTCCCATCAATATGTCTTTCCGAGGAACATTTGACGTAGCGCCAGTTTACTTTCTCAAGGCGATAATATCGTCGCCGATCCGTTTCCCAACAGGCATTGATTGCGCCTGTCGATCCGTTTTCCAAAGACATTGATTGCGCTGCTGGTTACGCTTCCTCCTTTCTATAAATGGAAGCTTTCTTGAATCAAAACTTCATTCAATCGTTCTTCAACAGCCTTTCATTCCTCTCTTCTCTTCGTCCTCATCCAAATCCATTTCCCATGTTTAAAGCCTGTGATCATAGGGTCACATGGAAGAGTTCCCATCAGTTATGCCATGACTCTTTCCCAGAGCCTTCCCCTAGTGAGCGGGATCGCACTGGTTTGATGTTGTTGTTGTTGTTGTTGGCCCGAAATAATGAGAGAGAAATCTCAAATTATCTTTGCATTAAAGAGCATGCGGACTATAAACTTCTGCTCATCTCTCCTAACTACCCGGTGCGACACTTCACTCCTATTGCTTTCCGTGGAGTGAGGTGGTACCATCTACTAAGTGTTGCATCCTGCACCGGTGCAACGTCTCAAGAAGTGGCTTCACAATAGTGGCGCTGGCGAGACCCATATTCGCTAAATTTTTCACCCAGCCACTTCTTCATCTTTTTCTGCTTCTTCTTCATCGTTTTCTGCTTCTTCCTCATCCTTGAAGATGCCGTTTAGAAGGTCNTAAATTTTTCACCCAGCCACTTCTTCATCTTTTTCTGCTTCTTCTTCATCGTTTTCTGCTTCTTCCTCATCCTTGAAGATGCCGTTTAGAAGGCCGAGGTGAGGGCCCGAAGAAATGATTCTCGAAGGCATTGCTCCCGAGGATGTACCCCCGAGAGTAGATTAGACTTTTAGTTGTTACTTTTGCTTCATTGTTTCTGTATAAGGACCATTCGTGGGCTTTTGTAGTCATGTGTAAGGTCCCTTCATGGGCTTTTTGTGATCATCGTTTATTAATGCAAAGAATTTTCTTCAATTTGTCTCTGATTTATGCTAGATTTTCCTTTATTTTCATTTGTGAAGAATCTGAGTGCATGACTCTACCGATCGATCCGAATACCGGGCCCGGGTGCAGTTATTTTCCCGGTTCCTGATTGGTTGATATGATATCTTGTGGAGCCCTTTGTCGTTCCTCGGGCTGAGCCCGGGTTGAATAGATACAAGCTTGGGCTGCCAGGACCCCCGAGTGAGAATAGGGCTTTGAATTATAGAACGAAACATAGCCTTTCAGACCCCGTCGATAGTCCTCGAGGGGGGACTTGCTCAGATGCCTGAGAATAAAGATAGCCTTTAGGCTCCCGGAAGCAGTCCCCGAGTGAGAATTCTCTCACGCTCGGGCGACCTGAAAACTTTTTTTGAACTTAGAGCGAAGATAGCCTTAAGGCGTTATAGATAGATCCCGGACGAGGGTTCGCCTGGATTCGGATAGCCCCTGGATTAAAGTAACCGAAAGGACGTTTAACTCAATCCCAAGGCGAGAAATAGCCCTAGGGCTTTATTAGTGATCCTCGAATGAAAACTGGCCCGGGCTCGGGTAGCTCGAGGGCCAAAGAATCGGATGAATGACCCGTGTTTGTCAATAGCGAAAATCATCGAGGTAGGGTACCACCTCGGGGTCAGGATTATATGAGTAGCTTCTCGGGGCTTATCTTTCACATTGACAGGGGTCCTCAGATCAGGCACCATCTCGAGGCCTGTAACGATGCTAATGGCTCCTTAGAGCCTATCTTCTTTTTTATAGAGATCCTCGAGATCGGGTACCATCTCGAGGCTTGTAATGATGTTACTAGCTTCTCAAAGCCTATCTTCTTTTTGATAGAGATCCTCGAGATCGGGTACCATCTCGAGGCTTGGTTGATCTTCGTGGCCTTCTGATTCCCAAAACGTCGTACGACAGCGTTGATCGTATGGCATGGTTATGGGACGACCGAGGTGATCCTGCCGGTACTTCTTCCCAAAGCGATAATGGCTTAGCCAGTATTTTTAAACTTTGCCTTTGAGCAAGGCGGATAGTTGCCGCTTGCTCTATATATAGGTTTGTCTTCCTTTCTTTGAAGATTCCGCTATTCTGAGTAGCTATCCTCCTCCATAGAGCTCTTCTTCCCTGTGTTAGGTCTCTCACTTTTTTAATTTAGAAGCCCTCGCTCAAATTCCTGCCCCAATTCTCTGATTTTATCACAGTTATGGCTGTTACGCCAGGATCTGTTTGGCGAAGAGAAGGAAGTTCTGCCTTTAGTTCCCGCCTGGTTGATGGTGTGCCGCAGGTGTCTGGCAAGCCAACCTTGGGGCATTTTGTTTCGAGGGGGGACTTTTCGTCGGAAAAACCTCCCAATGTTCAGGGTCATTGGGAATATGCCTCGAAGTTTATTTCTTTGATAGGAGAGGGGCACCTTGAGTTAGTGAGGAAAGATTGTGGATGGGGGGAAAAGGTGGTACTGCAGGTACCTTCCCCCAGAGAGAGCATTATGGATCATGCCGAGGGGTTTTTTGAACGTATACACGTACCCCTTTACAATGGGCCCCCCTGATAGACTTGTGCTCGACTTCTGTCGAAAGTATCGAGCTACCTTGGCACAGATCCATCCGTCGTTTTGGAGGATAGTATTGATGATGAGATTCTTTGCGGAGGAAGCAGGGCTTGAGTTTACCCTCAGCCATCTCATCAGGCTATACCGGCCTTTTCATCATCGAGGCCTGTTAACCCTACGATGCCGATCCACCATGCCCTTTGTTGTCTATGATGAAGAAGATGGAGATCGGGGATGGATGAGCCGATTCGTCCGAGTACGGACTATCGACGTTATCCCTAAGGAGTTTCTGCCATTTCCGAGGAATGGAATTTTACACGTAAGTGGTACACTTCGTGCTTTCGTTGGCTTATGGTGGAGGCAGGCTCCGTAAATGCTCCTTTTTTTTGCAGCAATTCCATGGATGCCATACGAGGTCCCCGTCCTGACGGATTGGGTTTGGAAGTTGGCGACCCACTCGACTTATGACGATCGTAAGTGTCAAGACTTGTTCAAGGGTAGATGGGAGGCAAAACACCACGGTACGTGCTGTGTGTTTTGCTCCTTTTTTGAAAGGTACTTTCTTTTTATGTGTACTAACTCCGCCATCATAGGCATTGGGGAGTTCTTTCAGGTAAGATCGTGCCCTCTCAGAGAGGGGGAAGGATCGTCAGCTTTTAGGCCGAGGAATAGTAATAATAAGCGAAAGGAGCCTTCATAGGGCGACGGTGCCTATAGCAGGATGAGTCCAGCCCGGAGGCTCAAAGAGGATGCATCAGCCGAGCCTGTAGGGCCCGAGATCTCTGGCCTTGGAAAAACGTTCCCTCCTCCGCTGCCATCTTCTTTTTGCGTCGGATGTATCTCGAGGAACGAGGGTTCTCTGCCGCCGACTTCTTCTCCCGTCGAAGGTACTTCGAGGGATGCTCGAGGCCAGGGGCCGTTTACATCGAGCGACCATGTCCCAACCGGGAGCAATTTTACTGGGGCTGATGGAGCCAAACTAGTAGATGTGCGTTCGACCTTTGAGGAAGCTCAGCGGCTCTACTCTGTGGTGAGTTTTGGCCGATCGTGTCGGTTCTTTAGCTTTTGCAGCTTTTTCTCTTTTATCGAGTTTCTCCTTCGTAGGCTTTTAAGAAGCTCAAGTCTGAGCTGCTTCGTTGTAAGGCCTTGCTCCGAAAAGTCGTGAATGGGGGGAAATCCCTCAGGCTTCTTTGCGACGAGAGAGAAGACGAGTTGGCACACTTGCGGTATGAGGCGAGTCGAAGTCTGGACTACGAAAGCTACCTCGAGGAGCAGGTAATTTTTGTTCCAAGGGAGTGCATGTTTTTTCTTCTATCTTCTGAGGCTAATGTTTTGTTTTCTTCAGTTGCAGAAAAAGACAGAGGACCTGGAACGCCTTCGGAGCGAAGTTGGTCAAGCCAGGTCTGAGTGCAATGAGCTAAAGGCTCGGGTGGATGCCCAGGTTACGGCTAAGAAGGATGCTTTGGCTAAGGCTTCTGCCCTCGAAGTGCAACTCCGTAACGCTAGTGAGAACAGCTTGGTCCGAACGGACATGATTACAAAGCTCGAAACTGAGCTTCTGAGGATGAAGGCCGAAGTTGCAGAGGCTCGGGCTGAAGCCGGAGCGATCCGAACTAAGGCTGATAAGAAAGTGGGCTGCCTATTTGAAGGACGCTGCCGATGAGCTGAGCTGAGAGGGGCTCTTGACCGTGAGAGCAGAAGCAAGGAGTATGCTCGGTTCAAATCTCGGAGGGAAACCCTCGAGGAGATCCATGCTAGGGGCTTTGACCTCTCGAAAGAGATAAAGCAGGCAAAGGCGGACAAATATGGCGCTAAGTTCCTTCTGTCTGACGCCGAAGATAGCGAGAAAGAGGTCGATGGACCATAGTCCCCGAGGGGGACGTAGGTTTAGGATTTTTTCCTTTCAATCTTGTGTATAGTGTTCCCGGAAGATCTTTTAGATGGAGCCTTATGTAATTAATATATGGAAGGAAAGCTTTTTGGTTCCATTCTTCTTTGCATGTGCACGTCTTTATTTGCTTTGATTTTCGACGCCCTGTCAATGATTTGCGGAAAAATTGGGCCTTAGGGTAAAGAACCCTTAGGTTTTCAATATGGCTCTGTGACACGTCGGGCCGGCCCGTAGGCTCTTATGCGTTCGCCTTCAAGCGTTTTTTACCGTGTTTGATCTTCGAGTTTTTGGATTTTAGACTGGCCCTTAGGCTCTTACGTGCTGGGTCAGTGTAACCTTTTAGTGTGAACCGGCGTTTAAGCTCTTATGCTTTTGTTTTTAGGAATATTCAGTTAATTGTTTCGGATTCAGTCTCCAAGTCGATTTTCGACTCGAGCTTATTGACCCTTCAGTTTTTGAATTTAAGGTTGTCCCTTAGGCTCTTACGCGTCAGGTCGGTACGACCTTTAATATGGGCTGGGCAGTGGCTCTTACGCATTGGGTCGGTACGACCCTTTATATGGGTTGGCGACAATGGCTCTTACGCATTAGGGTCTTTATGACCTCTAATATAGGCTGGAGATGATGGCTCTTACGCATTAGGGTCGGTACGGCCTCTAATATAGGCTTTATTCTTCCCTCGTTAAGCTAGCGTTTGGACATAGATTTGATTAAAACTTGAAAAAATAATTTTTGAAGTAGTTTTGAAAATTAATTTTTGGAAGTTGAAATTATGTTTGGACATGCATTTTATTTGAAAAAAATTTGAAGTTTTGTGAGTGGGAGAACAAGTTTCACCCAAAAATTACCCTAAACTAGATTTTGGAAACTTGAAAAATAATTTCAGAAATTTTTCAAAAATAGATCATTAATCTATGAACAAATAATGTTTTCAAAAAAGATTTGAAAAAAAGTTGCCAAAATGTATGGCCAAACGGCAGCTTTATGTGGCGATGAACGAGCACCTCGGGAGGTTTTGCTCGGTGGCTGAGTGTTTCGAAGACTATAGTTTGGAGCTGACATGGCCGAAGCTCTTTTACCTATGTCGAGGGTAGCCCTGTTTAACCGGTTCTTTTCGAAGTACTTTCGAAGTAATTGAAGGCCTGTAATTTTATAGCGACAGTCGGGCATCCCCGAGTTGTGTTAGTTTGGCTGGTACAGCCTTGTGACCGTAGTCATTGTGTTTGGCCGGAGCCTTTCAGTCCCCTAGTGAAATAGTTTCGGCGTCTATATCGAGGGTATTCCTTTTTAGGGGTCTTACAAGTTCGATATATAGCCTTAACATTAAGATCGGGTTTATGCCTTTTTTAAGGTCTTATAAATTTGAACATGCCTCACTTAAGGTCTTACAGTTTTGGCTACTTGGTACAAGTATGGTTCATGCCTTGCTTGAGGTCTTACAGTTTTGTTACTTCGTATAAGTATAGTTCATGCCTTGCTTGAGGTCTTACAGATATTGTTGTTGTTTCCTTACATAGGTCTTACGAGACCGAGGTTGCCCATATGGGATCTTATGGCCTCGGGTTTTTGATAAGACGATGGGATGGCGATTGGCGACAGTCCCCGAGATATTGAGAGTTTTCTGGACTTCGGAGCCGCTTTTGTATACTTGATGTTGCCTCATTGAGGGCTTATAAGTTCGAAGCTTCTGACCCGAAGGTTAGACGGCTTCGAGTTCTCGACGCCAGTCCCCGAGTGTTCGGGACGTTTTTGGCTTCTGGAGCCATTTTTATAAACTTGATATTGCCCTGTTGAGGGCTTAAGAGTTCTAAGCTTTTGACCTGGTGGTTATATGGCTTTGATTTTTGACGCCAGTCCTCGAGTGTTCGGGACGTTTTTTGGCCCTGGGCCGTTTTTTTAAGAAATAGCGAACTTCTTTAAAATGTGAAATGCTTTGATGGAGGGGAAAGTATCCTTTGATTACTTGGTACAAGTATACACGTCTCCGCTGTCAAGGGCTCAGTTGTTCTATACGGACACGGTTCGTTCGACCGTTTCGCCCGGTACATCATTTTCCTATCGACACCCTATCTAGCATTATCTGATTCTATTATCGTATTAACGTGAATCTCAGGATTTTCTGATTTATGAACCAGAAAATGATATGCCTTGCTATTGGTTACATATCCAATAAATACACAATCAATCGTTTTTGGACCTATCTTAACCCTTTTAGGTTTAGGAACTTGTACCTTAGCTAAACACCCCCACACTTTGAAGTACTTCAA